AGCATTTTGCAGAATTAAGATACATTCAAAAAAATGCCTCATTGTCACCAAAATGACAGGGTTTTGGCCCAGCATTGTGTCTGAAAAACTTATATGTGCATGTACATGTGCTCTCCTACCAGGTCTCAGAAGTGAGTAATAATATATCTTGTATATGTTCTTTTAGACCTAAAACAAATAACATGTAAACAATTTAGTCTTTTGTGTCTTTATGTTTAACTCTGGTTATTGTAGAGTTCTGGAGACTTAGAAACTTGCAAGCAAATAAAAGAAGTAAGACCTATTAATATGACTGTTCTTGTTTCTGCTGTTGCTGTATCTGTTACGTAAGAAGAGGAGAAAAAAGTTCACTTTTTTTAGCCTATTCGGGTTTTTTAGTCTGATCTCAGAAGATTTAAATGCCTGACTAAAGTGCACATCAGTTCCTCCTTCTTTACACTTTAACCAGCAGTGTTTTTTCCAGGTTATCTGTATTTGTCCCTCAGTATAACAGTCCTCCTTGTTATTAGGTACCAATTTATGAGTCCTGAGGAAGTTCAAAGCAATTTTAAGCTGCAAAACCTCAAAGACAGTAGAAAAATTTTCAAAATTTTCTTCTCTTTGTCACATAAGGATCCATTCTGCAGGAACATATGGTGACAAACTGTGCATCATCCACCCTGCATTGCTCTCACACTCTGCAGACCAAAATATTTTGGTGATAAGTGAAACACACATTGTAGAGTAAATCCATTTAATCTCAGGGTTTTGTTCTTCACACAAGGCTTCGATTATGCTCATTACTATGTTGCCTTAAGCAAGACTGGCTCCCACATGCTCCTGCTCTTGGGCCAGCAGAACATTTCTTAGAGCAGCCTGAGACTAAACCACAGACCTTAAGCTGAGGAACTGTTGAGAGATGTCTCTGCCAGGGAAAAGATACATGCAACAAGGTTTATGAAGCAGGTAAGGGCAAGAAGTATCAGGAAGCAACAACAACAAAAAAGAAGACTTTCGACCTTTTCTCTTATCTTTTTTTTTTTACATCTGAAGCTGGCTGGAATATTTCTGGTTCCTGGCATATGGTTAGAAAAATAAAAGTCAAAGAATGAAGTCTGTTTGAGCATTTACATAATGCAAGTTCTAATGAGACTCTGTGATATAATGAGATAGTTAATTAACAGCTCAGGGAATGGAGGAGCCCCCATGCTTCAGAGAAGACCAAGAAGCCCAACAGCTCCTGCCAACTATGACCAGCTTGAGAAAAGTTCCCCCTGCACCCAGTCCCAGGTTGGACCATGGTTACCTGTGGTACTCAACCAGGACACACCACTGAACTCCTCAAACACAGGGTTGTATCCATAAGTGTACACATGTCCTGTCTCCAATGCTGCGCACTGGGATGTATCTGGAGGATCCACTCTACTCACCTCTCAAAGTAGTTCTGGGAATTCCCTGAACTGGAGCCTTTGGAAAGTGTTGATAGAAGGAAGGGATTTATTCACTTCATCTTTCTAAATAGATAATGGTAGTAGATTTAAATTTAGCGTGTGTGCAGAAACCACATGCAATTTTTGAAGCCAAAGCAGAATCAAAAAATAATTTTGGGTCCTAAGGAGGACAAAAAACAAACATGAGTGAACAAACAGCATAAGAAGCAAAGATGGATGCTAACTTGTGGATGACTCACCTGGTTAGTAAATGGCTGCAACAAAAGTGATAATCCAAGAAAGCACTGGAGGATATGCAGGGGTCAGCAGAAAGTGCTGAGGAGCCGATACACTGTAGGGACAGCCCACACTAATGCACCACAGAGCACTGAAAAACTTCCTTCTCATAGTCATGGAGGTTATAACCTGGACTTCATTAATGGCTAAAAAGGTAAGAGGGCTTTTTAGCCATTAACTCAGAAGCTCCAAAACAGACTGTTGAGAGCCAAAGAGAGCTGGCATACTGATGAAGCACAGGTACATTTTTGCTGGACCTTCAAAAGTTACCTGTTTAAACTGGAGGGGGTTTTTGTCATGAGTTGGTTTTGTTGGTACTAGTTTGTTGGGGTTTTTTTGAGGAATCTTCAGTGAGAAAGAGGCAGAAGCAGTGTAAATTTATTGCAAGTGAGAAGTAATCCATCTTTCTTTTAGCCTCTTCTGGCTAAAAGCTGAGCTGTCTTTGAGCTGCCTTGAGCTGTCCTAAGATTTAGACTCACAGATTTCATTTTCTGTGTCCCAGACATTAGAGAAAGGCAACAGGGTGAGATAGATAGACTCAAATATCTCCTAGAAATGAAACAGCTTCTGAAGCAGAGGTGCAGAACTAAAACAAAATGTACTTTTGCTTCAGGGTATTCTCGATTCTGTTTTTTTTTTTCTTTTCATTGTGGTCCCTCATTTCCCCACCTAGACAAAATGCAGCCATGACAACATGGAAATCCCCTGAGCAGCACAGCTCTGATAATAAGACTATTCATGTTCAACAAAAATATTATGTTGAAAAGACTTTTTCTTTTAGTTTGCTCTAACTGAAACAGGAAAAAAAGAAAAAAAAAAAAAAGATCAAAGTGATAGCCCACTCAATTATAAACAAGACAAATTTAAAGTGAGAAGGTGTCATTTCTGCATAGTGACCAATCTGCACAGGAGAGCCTTTCTTTAATGACACTTCTGGTGGAAAATGAGATAGAAATTACATTGAGGGGTTTTAGAATAATACAGTAAGGAAGATTACTAAGAAAAGTGTTGAAATTCTCAACTACTCTTTTCTAAAGCCATCAAGGGCTAGGTCTTAGGTATGAGAAATCACCAGGACTCAGTCTCACTAATTCAAGTTTGGAGGAAATGTACTTTGGTCGAGCACAGAAAACTTGAGCATGAGAGATGAGTACAAGGAACTGCTAAAGTTCCCTCAGCTGACTCAGAGAAAGAGAATTTATTGAAGGGATAGCATGTCAATTTAGCAGTAACACAAACAGTTTTATAAAAGAAGTCAGCCTCTTGAGTGAGGGTGAGTCAGCTCATGGCGGTGCCACCTCCAGTGGCTCTGTGGACCCTGCACCATGTCCAGCTCCTGGCCAGGTAGGTCCCTCTCCTGCTGGTGGGTGGGAGGTATTGTAGAGGTCTGCCAATCAGATATCTAGCCTGCCTCACCCTGTGCTCTCTCTTAATTCAGTGGAGAGAAAAAAAATGCATTTAGGGGTTTAGATTTCCTCTTTTTAATGTCTGTGTTAGGATGAGATAAATTGTGCTCTTCCCTGGCCAGATAGAAGCGAAGCAAGGAGAGTCCTGAGACAGCAAGACACATGGAATATGCTGGCCAAGGAGTCCAACCCACCTTTCTGTACCTACCCAGGCTCAGTGCACCTGCAGGGAATGCTTTGGTAGGGAGCCTCAGGGAGGTTCCATAAAGCAGGGCTGGATGCAGATTTGGAGATCTTTCAGTGTCAGCCTCACTGAACTCTTGTGGAAAGAAAACCATTTCTTTCCTCTTAAAACTGGGCAAGGGAGACCAGAAACTTTGCCTTGGCTACCCAGTGTCCCTTGCCTCGAGCAGCAAGAGACATTGCAGGACAGTCATTGATGTCCTGGAAAGAAGGAATCTTTTCTAGCTATGAGACCTGAGCTTTCTTCACTTTGGAGAGCATTTTCAATTATTTCCTTGCAAACAAAAAAGCTGATGTGGTTTCCATGTTAAGCCTCCTATTATAGTGTCATCATTTTTCTGTTTGCTTGGGCATTTTTACAAACTTTGCCCTCAGTTTCCTTTACACCTCCAGCCTGAGGCTTTTTTTGTTGCAGCCAGGGCTGTGCCAGAGTTTCCTCTTCTGTTTCAGGCCCTCAGCTCACCTGTAGTTAGCCACATCAGTCAGACCTGTGCATGGCCTGGCTTTACACTCCAGTGTGCGTCAGTGTATTCAGCCACAGAAAGGGTGCAAAGGAAATATCTAACGCCTCTTTATCTTTCACTTTCCACCATTGCTTTGTCCAAAGCCTGAAAAAATGTGAGATGTGCTACTTTGCCCTCAGGAGACAGGTTTTGCAGAATTAGCCTTTTAATGGACAGGTTTCTCTGGGTCAGCATTGCCTTATGCAGGACTTCATAGAATCACAGAAGGTTTGTGATTGAAAGGGACCTTTGAGATTCTTTTGTTCCAACTCCCCTGCCATGTACAGGGGCACCTTCCACTAGACCACATTACTCAAATCTGGCCTTGAACACTTCCAGTGATGGGGCAGACACAGCTTCTCTGGGCAACCTGTGCCAGAACCTCACCACCTCCACTTTCACAGGGAAGAATTTCTTCTGTATGCCCAATCTAAATCTGCCCTCTTTTATTTTAAAAACATTGCCCCTTGTCCTTTCACTGCAGGCCTTGGTAAATAATTTTTCCCTGTCTTTTTTATAAGCATCCTTTACATACTGAAAGGCCATGATAACATCTTCCCAAAGCCTTCTCTATTGTAGGATGACTCTCAGCCTGTCTGTGCAGCAGGTGTGTTCCAGCCCTCTCCTCATCTTGCCATCTTCCCCTGGCCTTGATTCAACATATCTGTGTCCTTCTTCTGTTGGGGCTCAATGCAGTGTTCCAGATAGGGACTCACAAGAGTAAAGAATCACCTGCTGGCAGTGCTGCTTTTGACCCTGGCAGTTAAAGAATAAACAAAAGCAATCACACCTAAAGTTTCATACCTGGAAGATTTTTCTCCCTTGGACCTATGCACCTCTCTTGGAAGCAAAGTGGATGCCAGGACTAAACCATGCTCTTAGGGAAGCCAGCAGCACAGGTCCCATCAGCCAAGTCAGGAGCACTGTCAATGAAACATGCTCCCTTTCCCACTGGGCTTTACCAGATTTGCCCAAACGAGTCGGCGGGGCAGATCCAGAAGGTGCTCAGTCCAGAAGCAGGAAGCTGTTTCACAGTAAAAGCTCAGCAGTTATCTTTACTTTGGCTTCCTGCCCGCTGCCAGCAGCCTGGCTGTGCGTAGGCATGTTTACATTTCCCCTGGCGAGGTGCGCTGGCAGGCTGCGGGGCGCTGGGGCCGGCTATAAAGGAGCAGCGTGGGGCTTGCACACACACCCCCGCTGCACACATGCAGTGTGCTCAGGATGACACAGCCCACTACTGTGCTGAGCATTTTTGCCATGTTCCTTCACACCACTTTTGGGGAAAGTGGTTGCACTTCAGCAGACGGTGATGGTGAGTCATTTCATCTTCATCTTTCCACTCACATATGATCTTGAAAAACCTCAATTAAGAGATCCAGAATGCAACTGTATGATTAAATACATTAATGTTTTAACTTCCAATCTCTCTTTAGTGCCAATGCCTGAGGGGGAGCAGGGGGATACCTATTTAATTTAATCACCAAATCTGCTGTCCTTATAACATTCAAATCCACATGAAATAAGGGAGGCCATAACTGCATGCACAGGGCATGCAGTGCCAGACCTGATAATCCTTGTTGTAGCTAGTGCTCCTCTGCAGATTTAATGCCTGGGAACAGGGATAACCTCACTCTTCTGCAGCCCATGGTCACTCTCAGCTGCTGTTAGGGAGGGGTGAGGTCCTGGCTTCTTTTGCTCTTGCCAGTCTCCTCCAAATAAAATATTTTTATGTAACTCAAACTTGGCCCAAACTGTTCCACTTCAAAGGCCAGACTTTTACATTTTCTTTGAGCAGTTTCATCAGCTGTATCTGGGATATAGTCCCAGTTTCCCTTGTAGCATAGCTGATGAAGCAACTCAGCCAGAGAGTTCTCACAGCACATCACCAACAGCATTTATGCCCTACTCAGCAAATAATTATAAATTAACAGCACTTTAAATTCAGCCTTATTGTAGATTTTATGATCTCGTTTATGGAAGTGAAAATTATTTAGCAGTATGAAGATGAAAAACATAAATAAGCAGAATATAAAAACAAAATAAGGAGAAATAAACCCACTGTTTCAGGCTGCTATTTGTTTTCTCAACAGGGAGATAAAAAATTTGATTTAGAGATTCAGTCCAAATCTTCTAAACTCTTATTTGTCTGATACTAAACAAACAGCAATGACAAGAGTTTGTGCACTATGCCTAAAGGACATGGGTTATCACTCAGCTATTGGTAGGTTAGAGCTCCATTGTTTGGGAACAAAAGAGTTTTCTGTTTTAGGAGGAGAATGGTTGTGTTTTGATGCTATCTCTCACTTGGAAAATCTCATTTTTCCCTGGGTGTTATGTATTTTAACACATGTATCTAGACAGTTGTACATACATTCATGTGTACATGGATAGGATATGCATGATAAGTTTTTTCATTTAAAGAAAACATGGGCTGGCTCAGAACTGCATCTAACCACCCTGGGGTTTTTATTTGCCATTTATTCATATAACTGGCAGCTGTTTAGAGCCAGCTTTGGAAAGCAGCTATGGTGATGAATGTTCAATGCTAGTGATTTATTGTTGGTTTCACTGAAATCTTCAGGGCTTCCCAAAATCAGATATGATCAGACCTTTGCTTGTTTTGTCACTAACATGAGTAAATCATTATTTCCTTATACTTGAAGACAGATTCAGAATAACCCTACTGAGCAATTAGAAGCTTTTATGACTTCTTTATTAATCTCCTGTGTTCGGCCACCGAACTAAGTAAACCAGGGTAAAATCACTCATGACAATTATTTGACTTTGACTCTTTGCCCTGCCTCCTTACAAAGTGCCAGTAGCCAACTCAGGCATGAAGTTGTCCTTATGGGCACTCTTACTGGCAGAGGAAGGAAGAGCTAATTGCAGCACTTTGCCTCCATCTCCTCCTCTCTTGTGAGCATCAGGCTGCCTCCCAGCTGCTGTCCTCCAACCAGGAAGAAGGGGTGTAGATGCTCAAAAGGCCTCAGAGTCACAGGCAGAGCTAAGGAGGGGCAGGCAGGGAGAGTGCAGGTGGCACAGGAGGCTCACTGGCAGGGCATCCTCAGTGGTCCTACTACCCACACTTGTAGGGTTTGTCCAACCCATCTAAATTCTTGTGACTAAAACAGGTTCTGCCTGAATCACATCAGTGCTAGAGATGTCACATTGCTCCGTCCACGCAGACAGCCAGTGCTTAGCTGTGTCCCTGGTGTCGCACATTGCTGTCAGTCCTGGTGGCTCTAGAGTATAAAGCTGAAGCTTGTCCTTAGCCTCTGCTAACACCCTTCCCTTCCTAAGGGCTCCTGAGATTCCTGCTGTGGTTTGGACCATCCTGCTGGATGCTGTCCAAACCCAGGAGAGAACCATTTCTGTGAAGGACCTGCCATGACTCTAGCTATGAGAGCAGTTTTTATCTCAGTTTAGAATCGCTCCTTCCCAAACCTTGCCATGATTTCAGCAGAGCCAGGTTGTTGCGTTGCGGTCCCCTTTCACCGCGACACCCCGAGCGCGGGCGTGCTGGGTGGCGGGGGAAGAGAAAGGGCGGCCGGTCCCCCAGTAAATGCTCTGCAGTCCCAGTTATCGGCGCGGGGACAGATGGAGGCGGCACGGGACTTGGGGTGAACAGGCTCGGTTTATTTCGCGTGCCTCAAGACACCTTGGTGGGGGCGAGCAGATGTTTTATAGGAACAGCAACCAATAGGGGAATAACAGGGGAGGAGTTTGGGGTAGGACTAAAGGGGGCAGGGAGAGAAGCGGGGGGAGGGGAGATTCACATCTTGGAGAGAAGGGGGGTTGGGAGTGAGATGGGGAGGGTGTGTACAGACACTGAAAGAATAAAGGACACACTCCTGCAGGTTTAATTATCATATATTCTATTGTTATTATGTTACTTCCATTAATAAGGAACTGTATAATCACAATATGAATGTTCACTGTCTAAGTGGTAAAGTCAGCTTTCCTTCCAGTGTGATACCAAAGCTTCACTGTGCTGGTTAAACCTTGAATACATGTTTGAACTGCAAGACTAAACCTCTTCTTATCTTCATTTTGCAACCAAACTGATAAAGAATTAATCTAAATTTCTGTAACTTTTCAGCAAATCAGTAGAGAATAGTTGAGGGGTTTTTTTGATAAGTCATTTATTAATAGTATGATTGTCAGATTTTTGAGTTGATGCGAAATCTGGTGTATATAGTTTGCATATACAGAGATCATGAAGCAGTCATATAGAAAGGGAGATTAGTCATCCTAACCTTTAAGTTTTAATATTGCCTTGAGTATAAAGCAAATCTCCTGGCAGCTGCAAGTAAAATCTTAAGAGAGGCTCAGAACATTACATATCTGTGCATGTCAGCTTTGGGTGTATATATCTGTACAAAATGTGGTAGGTTGTTTTCCATTTTAAATAAATTTATTTCAGCTTACTTGGTATCCCCCAGATTTTGAATACACATATTTTCATGTACACACTTTTACCCATATGCAATGTGCAACTGTATGTGGTACCTATTCCTGCATGTCTGTCCTTAAGACTCAGGGCTGCACTGGACAAGACTCTCACCTCTGTGAAACTGCTCCAGAACTTGTTCCAGAGTTGGGCTGATCTCTGTGTCTGTCTTAAACGTGATTGTTAAATACAGCAGCTGTATTTCTGCATCTGTCTGTGTCTGTATCTGTGTCTGTGTCTTTCCGTGTCTGTGTCTGTGTTTCTGTCTCTCTTTCTGACTCTGTCTCTGTGATGCACAGGTTCTCCCCTCAAAGCAGCAACACTGGTAGAGGACACTGCATTTGTTGTCCTTCAGGGAGATCTGGGCTCCCTGAGCTGTGCTGAGAAGACCAGTAATAATTTCTTAGCACCAGCTGCTCATGGTGACAAATGCTCACTAAAATTAGCTCATGGGTGAGAAATCTCCCTGTGGGTTCTAGATTAGTGCAGCATCAGATGCTCCCAACCCATCCCAGGTGCTGGTGGCAGCAGTCCCCTTCCTAGCCTTTGCTTGCACTGCTTTTGTGTGTTTCTCTACATTTTTCTTACTCAAAGTCTGACTGCAGATGCATGAGTTGATCATCATTTTCTCTGGGAGGGATTTTCCATTGGAAATTTTTCAACAGGCATTTCCCCGCTCTGTTTATGAGTCTGAATCACTGATACCCCACAGCAGATAGCAACAGGACAAGGAGGAATAGTTTTAAAGTGTCAGAAGAGAGATTTAGATTAGATGATAGAAAGAAACTCTTTACAAAAAGGGCAATGAAGCTCTGGAACAAGGTGCCCCAAGAAGTTGTGGATGCCCCATCCCTGGAAGGGTTCAAGGCCAGTTTGGATGGGCCCCTGAGTAAACTGATCTAGTGGGTGTCATTCCTGCCCACGGTGGCTGAAACCAAATGATCTTTAAGATCCTTTCCAACCCAAACACTTTTTCGATTCTGTGATTCTTTTTCTCACTGTATCAGGTGCCCCCATAGCAAGGACCTGTCTGGGCAGCAGAGGATGGAGCAGGGGATCGAGCATAATCCCTTGACTCAGGAAAGAGGTTTATGTATTGTGACAGCTACCCTTAACCATTGTTTAAAGGAGTCAGAAGCATTCCTACCCCTAGGATCCATGCAAGGGGTGGTAACAATACCCTTTGGCTATAGTGGGTGAAATTTTATGAAATTAGGCTAAACTGGCATTTTCTGCCAGAGAGGACTTCTCTCAGCAGCATAATTTTTTTCCATCATTGGCCTCATATATGCCAAGTGTAGGATTTTAGAATTACGCTTTTAGTCAAATCATTGTGTTATTAGTCATTGAAGCAAATTTGCAGGAAGCCATGCATTCTGGTAGAAAGTCTAAGATTTCCCTCCCGTGCCCAAATTCATGACATTTCAGAAAGCTTTCCAGTACAATCAAAATGTGGCTTAGCTGCCTGCATGGTACCAAAATATTCTTGCATGTGAGTGGACTTGACTGGCAAGAAGGGAGAGCAACCTTGAGAGGTGCAAATGGCTTTTAACTTTGTTTTGGACAAGGTTTCTCTGCTTCTTACAACACAGGTGGGTTGAGCCTCTTTCTTTCAGGCAACCACATGAAGAAACAACCTCCTATACAATGGAGCTGCAAATCAAAAACACTCACGGGTTTACTTCAATAACATCTTGTGAATATCTACTTAGGGACTCTCGGGGATGATGAACCAGACAATTTTGACATTGATTGCTTCAGCCAGCTGGAAATTAAAGACTCCTTTAGCAGCCTAACCTGCAATTTCACCGAGCTGTCTCCTTACAATACAAACTACACCCTGTCTCTGTGGTAAGTGCTGTCAGTGTGTCCCTTGGTAAACAACATGCAGGGAAACAGGGGCAGCAAAGCTAGACAAAATCCTATTTTGCCAAGTATGAGTACTGTATTCAGCAAAGAAGAGTTTATTGAAGGAGAACATAACTCCCTAATGAGAGAAAGGAAGAGCTGGAGGGGTATCTAAAGGGGATTATAATGTCTCCAAGAGTTCTGATCTTGCCTCTGTTGCTCTGGAATGCCTGTAATATGGATGGTAGCCCAGCATGAACTGAGACTTTTTTACTTGAATTTCAATGGTGTTTTAAAAATATATTTTTGAAGACACAAATCCTTACCACAGAAAATTCTTTAGCAGAAGGTTGATTTTCCACATCCAAGAAAATACCTTCATCTAGGTTAAGACAAAAACTCAGCTATTGTCTTTGCACACAGAGATGCACAAGAATTACACTAGAACAAGCACACAAACCTCCAACCGTTATCAAACACATCAGTCATCTCCACTTCCTATTGAGGCGTTGAGACTCTTTCCACCCTATTTTTTTTTACTGTTGTGCCATGCTGAAGATCATATTTTGTTTCTTGAGCATATAGTTCTGTTTTCCCCATTTTCTGTTTTTCCTGAAACTGAAAGTTGTGTGGCAGTTAAAAAAAGAAGTGGATATTTTTTGTAAATCTTTATACACTAGTCACTAATTATTTCCTTTTTTTTTTCTCATAGTTTATTAGAATTTTTCCATTTTCATGGGACTTTTTCTGGGGTTTGACTGAAGTTTTATGGCAATTCTCAAACATGGGAGTCACAGAAATGGAAAAAAAAATACTAAAACCATTATGTGATTCCTTCAAGGACAGGCTGACTCTTGACCCTCTACTTGCTACCACCTAAGTCAGTAATAAATTTCTCTATATCTTCAGAGAGCACCAAAACACATTGCCTTATATTTAAAAATTGAAGTGGTAAGATAATTTTTGAAGATGGAAATGTTTTAACACGTGCACCTTATATTAAATAATTGCACTTTTTTCTCAAGAGCTCCATAATGTTTAATGTGATTCACATCACTTTACTATTGTGCTCAAGGACCACAAGGAAAAACACTATCAATCTCTCAAACTCCTTATTTGCATTGCATTATTTCTTATTTCACATGTACTCTCACTTCAGTGAGGTAAATGAAAGGAGCAAGCAGGATTCATCCCTTATAGTAAGTAGCTAAGTCATATTAACACTGAGAAGAAATGATTGTTGTGTCACTTTGGCCAACAGTACCAAGGAAGACAACAATTACGCCTGCTCCAACATGAAGAAACAGGAAGATGTCTTCTTCTTACAGTTCATTGATATACTCTCAAACAGAGATGTTTGCATGTACTCTGAGACGAAGAGAAGGGTCTGCAGGAGTCTGGTTGTAACTGACATTGGTGAGACACAACATTTCGGATATTTTTAAAGTCATAGGGCTCACTGGGGAGAAAATAGCCCAGTACAAAACCTAAGCGCCAATCTGGATAGGCATCATAAAATAGCATCTTAGCAGGGCATGTAGCCTGGATTGGGGTGTTAGCAGAGTGTGGAGTTTCCGCTGCTTCAAAGCCAGACATTATTAACCTCTATTCAAAATGCATAACTGAATTCAGGCTGATTGTGACACTGCCCAGACTTGGACACAGACTGAATCCCATCCATGTCTGAAGCAGCTGTCCCTGAGTGTGGATGAACTGCTAAACAGGGATATTTTGTTCATCTCTGACAAGGGATTATGCAGTTTAGGGACTGGCTAACACGCAGACAGCGTGAGCCCAGTAGCACAGGGAACACAAAGTTGCAAGATGTCACTTCACATCGTGGCATATCCTGTAGCCTGAACAAGGTGCATCCTGCACTGGTAACTGTGAATGGAGTAAGACACTCCAGGAACCTGCCTGAGCCAAGAAGTAGGAAACTCAGGGGGAGGAAGGGATACACAGAATTTACTGTTCTTGGAAACCAGTGTCATTCAAGGACGGCAGAGAAGCCTGTGTAGGACAGATTCTTCTCTGTTCTTCTCTACTGCCTCATTGCTTCGTCTCCAGTTGGCAGTAGGCACTGCAACATCCCTCTCTTGTGAAACATTTATGCCAGTCCAATAGTTTTGTAATAATCTTACATTACCTCTTAGTTTATGGGGCAACCTGGACCATCTCTGGCAGTCCCTAAAAACTGTGAAAGATCTAAGTATCTGGGGGTTGTAGAAGGAGCGAGAACAATTTATGGTTATACATGTTTTCCTGAGAGGAGAGGGGTGTGAGCTCTGTGTTGCTGTGAGGGCTGATACACTTAAGGAAGCCTCAGTGCCACAGCCACAGTCCCTGCAGGTCTCAAGCCCATCCAGCTCAGGCTCAGCTCAGAGAGAGCCCTGAGGGCCACATTTCGGACTTGATGTACTTGCACGGATGGTCTTTGGCACAGTCTCCTTCAGACCAGATCAGATGTGGGTAAATAGCAAGGGTCTGGAGCCACAGCCCCCTCTGGTCTATCTAAACACCGCCAGACTTTGTACCTCCCCCTGTCCCATTGCCCTGACAGACAGCCACAGTGGTACCTAAGCACAGGTTGTTCCCCAGCACCTCTTCCCAGCTGGGTTTTGCCAGGGGGCCTTCATTGCAGAGCACTGGCTAGAGGGACTGAATTTCAGGCCTTCAAGCTGCCACAGGGGTGGGCATGCTCAGGAGTTGCTTTCCAAGACTAAATGTCATATCCCTCACAAGGACCTCCCCTGCTGGTCAGACTACTTCTCTATCAGGTCAAAATCAAGCCCTTGTCAGAATCAGGATGAGCTGGGGCTCAGCATGAGCACTGCCTAACCCAGGACAGCTCTTCCTCAAGACAGGTCACCCTGCAGGGCTGTAACCTGAAGTGGATGTTTTTTTATGTTTCAAACCCTGTTTATTTTCTAGTAACATTATTCTGCTCCTGGTTTGCTGTCATTTGCAGTTAAGCCTGAAGTACCATTCGCTATAAACATCACATATGAAAGGGAGGCAAATGAGTATCTCATTCGCTACTGTACACCACACTCAAGGAAGAAATACTTAAAGGACAAATTAGTGCACCAAGTAGCCTATCGGCAGAAAGAAGGTACTTGGAAGGTAAGTGGTGATATATTGGTATGCTTATACTAATTTCCAAAATTAAACATTATCAAAATTACCTGTACCTTGTAAAAATGATCAAATCTGCATTTCTGCAGATCTCCATCTGAAAATTTGGAAAGGTGCAATATTTGGCATTTGGAAACGTCATCAGTCAAAAGAGGTTTAATTTCTTTGGACTTTGCAGTGGGAATAGAAGACATAATGTGTTGAACCATTCTAAATTTGCTCTTTGCTGTGGTGGTTTTGCTGTTATTTTCTGTGCTCATCAGTCAGTAAACTTGTGACCTCTTTACTTATTTTGCAAGTTTCTTCACATCTCTTTTTCCATTGAATCCTTCCAGGTTTCCAAGGCAGCCCTGCATCTCTCCCACCCTCGGGCTGTCTGAGGCTGCAGCAGCCTGTGAACTGAGCCTGACTGGGGCTGCCCAGCTGCAGGGATCTATCTCTGTGTCCCCTGTCACCAGGGCAGCCATGCAAAAGCTAGTCACAATCTTTGAAAGCATGGACTGCACCTGGGTTTTACAGAGGGAACACAGTGTTGTCCACTGTTATCTGGAGTGCAACAAGGCAGTAATTGCACACTCGAGAGAGACATTGACTGTTCCAGTTGCACAAGCCTGGGTGCTCAGTGGCATCCCACAAATCAAGCACACCAACTACCAAAATGTTTTACTATTTATACATTTTAGCAAACAAACTAATTAATATTCCTTGCCTATAAATTACATAGTTCTCTTATTAATTAGTGTGCCATCTTCTATTGGTTAATAATTCTCTCACATCTCAAGCTAATTGGCCTGCAGGCTCAGTCTTTGTCTTCTCTTGAGTTGGCGGCTCCCATGTCCAGGTGGGCCATGAGTCAGCAGTCGTGATCTGCTCTTGCCAGAATTACCTTCTAGCCAGTCCAGAGCTGATTCAGCATAGTCACCAAGTCGTCTTTATTAGTTTATTCCTTATCTTGGGGATTCTGCCAAATGTCCTCTATTATGGCCCAAAAATTCTGCACTCTTTGTGTCCATTACCATCACTACATCCTTCTTCCCAAGCTTTGTTAACCTCCCCCCAGGTCTCACATCATCGAAGCATGATGTATGTCAAGACACAAACCTTAACAAAGCGATTCTACCCACAAGAAATTTGTTTTTCCAACACCTGGACATAATTAGAGCTTGCTTATTAACTGCTCTCGGTTTCACAGATTAAATCTCCCTCTGTTGATTAGGCTTGAAAATATACAAAGATCAAACATCAAAGAACTTAAAGGGAAAAGAAAATTGATTCAGGTAGCAAAATACATTGAAATAGAGAGCATCACAGCTGCACTGCAGGATTTCAGCTTCTTCCCTGTAACTGCCCTCTCAGACATTGTCTTTTTATGCTGCAAAAACCTATTTTTTCTCCGTCTCTCCTCTGAGCCTTTTCATGGAAGCATATATTTCCTGTAGCAGTGTCAGCTGCCACAAAGCACAGTTAATATTCACAGCTGTTTTCCTAAAAAGCTTTTACCCAGCATTTGTCTCTCTTCTCAATACTATCTGGACTATGCTCTTGTTTAACTAGGCTGATGCCCTCATAAGCACCTGTGTAATAGCTAGACAGATGGAGTAAACGGATGCACCTGATCTCACATATTTTGCTGAACTCGAGGATAATTCTCCACTGTCTGCTGGAAAAATAATTGTATTTTTGTGGTTGTGTGTGTTTAGACAATAGAGTCACCATACCTTCAGATAAAATTGCTGGGGAAAAACCTTGAAAATGAAGCATCATATGAGGTGAAAGTACGTTCTCAGCCCAACGGAGATTATTTTAAGGGCATATGGAGTGAATGGAGCACTTCCAAGAGCTTCTGGACAGCAAGAGAGCAGCACTCCACAGAAAGATGTAAGAGCTGAAAACACTTTGGTCCCCCTGGAGGAAAGCAGAGCTGGGGGTCTGCGCTTCCTGGCCAGCCTCAGTAGCAGCAGTGATGAGAGAATGGGGAGGGAAGAGCCCATGGCCACAGCAGGGTCAGCCCTCACAGACACAGGCACTCCAAGGAGGTGACTCATATTGCAGCTGGATCACTCTGGTTTGAGGCTGGTTTTCCATGAAGATTTAAATCTCATTCAAGGGCAATAAAGTCAGAGGAAGTTCTGCCATGAGAGCATAAGGGTGTGGGTGCAGAGGGAGATGATGGCTGACTCAGTGCTTGCTGCTGGCTGGCTTGCCAGGGGAAGGAAGAGCTTGCACCACATACTTTGGGTAAGGCATGACCTATTTTAGGACCCTGGGCTTGAGTATGAACATGACACTTGAAACACAGATGCAACACAGGATAAAATCTCATCACTGCACATGAATGATCTTTGTGGTCCTTGGGTCCCTTCAGTCCCCAGGGGCACCTCAGCATTACAGGTGTTAGAAGTTATCTCTATGCTGCTGTGAGGACACGGTGTGTGCTGATTTCAATGCACAGGAGGTGACAGCAGACTTCAAGCTGCTTTGATCCAGTCTGTGAACCCAGCTCAAAGCTCAGCCTAGTGCTGATGCTCTGGCAGCATATCATTCACCTCCTTCATGGAGGCAGGAGAAATGAGCCCAGGCCAGTGATAGAAAAGTGCAGTGCTTGGTGTTAGTCCCTAATTTATCATCTGAAAAGACATCACTGTTACAATGGCTTAACAGTGAGACATTTACATGCATTGGCTGATGTTCTTTGTTTTCCTGCAGATAGCAGTGTGGTCATGGTTATATTCTCCATCCTGGGATTCATGCTGTCTGTTGTTATGATTGCACTGATTATAGTTTTTTGGAAAAACAGGTAATCTCTTTGTATCAGAAAAGATTTTGGAACCCAATCCTGTTCTGACAGTCTTACTGCTTACCCTGTTATACTTGTGAACTCTTCTCTCTCCATCTCTGGAACTCCGTATCAAGTGGATGGCAAGCAAAGAGTAGAAATAAGCAATAGCAGAGACAGTGTAAGGAGACAGAAGATCACCTGCCACTCGGACCAGATTTCAGTCCTGAGCTCAAAATATTGGGACCTTTGGTGAGCCAAAGTCACCACAAAACACTTTGACTCAGAGTCCCACTGGAGGCAAATTTGACTCATAAACTTCAAGCAAAATCCAGAAAAGAAAGGAAACTGTGGGTTTTAGTAAACTCCTAAGAAGTGTGGAAACAGTATGCCAGAGTGATGAGCTCTTTCTCTTTCACAAGCTGAGTCAGTGGGGTGTTAATTCTGCAGTGGTTTCAGAAGCAGCAGGGCAGAGCCCTCTGCAACAGGGACTTGATGGTGTCAGACACCAGCCTGGCCAAATCCTCTTCCAGCCAGCCGTGAGGCAAGATCAGCCTGCAGTGGGACTAAGAATACATTCACTGCCCAAGCAGTCCTTGGTCTGCAATAGGGTTTTTAATATATCTGCTACATAGCAGGAGATGGATGACTATAGATATGTTTTTAATGACATGGCTCCCTAGAGCTGACAAGCTTAAGAAAATGAACAGATATGTAAGATAATGTTATGAAACTAGAATCTGGAGGGATAAAATCCAAGTTTATATGTAGCAGAAGAAATCCTTGCAAGACAGAAAGCCCAGGACTCTTCAACAACTTTCAGAGCAGTCTGTCCATGACACCCACCTCAAGAGAGGTAACAGTGTGAGCTGCTTTTTGGGACAACACTTGGGCTGTGCTAATTCCAGAAGAACACATGGAGATTACCTGGCCAATGCTAGTTGGCCTCAGCCATACCATGCCACAAACAATTTTAATAATTAAAAATTTTAGATACTGGAGTTATCTGCCCTAGTGCTACTTTATTCACAAGTATAGAGGTAGCTTGAGATTTCTCATTGTTGCATTTTGCTGTTGTTGGGAACCTGCAGTTATCTAACTTTGCTACAAGTCTTGCTTACATAAAAGTGCAGCAAAAACAGGTGACACTTTTTGATCCCAGATATTTCCATTTTAGAAAGAAGAGAGTTTTATACATGTGCATATATGTGCATATATGCATTATGTGTCTGTGCCACACAGACACATAAATAAAATTAAATATATATTAATATATATGTATAATTAGAAAACTGCAATGATTGAATATCATTTGGACAACATTCTCTAGATGCATCATAGCTGACAGTATCAAGCAGCACAACATGAGAACTTTGCTAATTAAGGCAGTAAAAATGAAACCTGTGGAACAAGGCTACAGGATAGATGTCTGAAGTTCAAATTGCTGGCCAAAGAATGGGACAATATGCCATTCTTTGAATTAATTATGCATTCAGAAGCAAGTATCAGCAAATTTCCACTTTAACCACAGCATCTTCTTGCACTTAGAGAAAACAGTTTCAACCACACACAACCCTGTTCACACAGCTAGATGAAAACAAGCAACAAACTCTTTGCCAGCATAATTTGCCGAATTTCCAGTACTTAGCAAAATGTTTTCTTTTAACTGTGACAATTTGTGCACTCCAAAGAACAATGACTTTTTGGTGACCTTTACAATTCCTCTTCTCTGTCTGGTTTATTCTGACACTTCTCTGTCTTTATTCTGGATAATGCCAGCCAGCCCTAAGGCTTTGTGAGAACTAATACAAATGATGCAATATGAACCTCTGATACCTCAGCACAGCCCTCTTATGTTGCTTTTTGTCTAATGTTGCTGTTTCAGGATCAAGCCTGCTGTATGGCCGAACCTTCCTGACCATAAAAAAACGCTGGAGCAACTATGCAAGAAGCCAAAAAACGTATGTTCTTCCACTGTTCTTTCCTGAGTATAGATTCTTGGGGACACAACTAATGCTCATGAGAGACAGTATGTGCATTTGCTGCATGAACAAGAACATCTTTCAAAAATTACTTCTACATTTCACTGAAGACAGCCCACATTTGCTCATACAGATGTCAGCCAAGGGTATGAAAATAACACACAATTAACCTCATGCCAGAGGTTTGACTTGTGCAAAGTAACTACGGAGGTCTTGGGAAGTTGAGGTATGAAGAAAGACTGAAGAAATTAAGTTTATTTATAGAAGAAAAGGAAGCTTGAGGTGGGGAATACTACTTACAACCTTCCAATACCTAAGGTATATGCAAAGAGATGGGAAAGATGCTGTGTGGCGACAGGAAGCACATGCTTCTGGTAACAGAGGCAACAAGCATGTGTTGCTTCAGGGCCAACTTATTCCAGTTACAAGCAAAGAATTTTTCTTGTGAAAAGAATTAAACGCTGTGTAGCCCGTCCAAAGACAAGGTAGGCTCCCCTCAGATAATATGTTTAAGGGTTGGCTTGATAGGGCTCCGAATAGCCTAGTCTTGCTTCTGGCAGAAAGTTGGAGTCCACGGCTCCTTTCCAACCAAGATGCTTTGTTGATTCTACAAAACTGTGATGATGGGACTGGATGGGGACCTTTTGCAAACATCCCTGGTGTTGTCCATGTACTCTGACATGGCCAGCAGCATTATTCATACATCATGCAGTATAAGAGCTACTTTGCCAGTTAAAAGCCAGATGGACAAGTAAGTCATTAGTGCTGTTCATTCCAGGTACATTATTAGCATGTTCTTAATTTCACAGGAGGCCTAGCACAGCTCTCCCAGCCCATGTGCTCCCCAGTTCAGGGATTCCTAACGTTTCTCAGGAAGTTGTGGCAAATTTTTACTTCCCTTGCTGCTAAATTAGGAAGGTAAAACTGAAAGAAACCATCTGGGTGGGCACAGTCCTTCCTGTGAAATGGCAGGCAGGCGATAAATATGTGTCTCAGAAAAGTCTCTGAAACACTGTATAGAGCATAAAACACTATCTAGGGATACTGCCTAGAGGAGGACACCAGATAAATGAAGTTAATAGGGAAAGGGATTTTCAGCCATGTGATGGTTTATTCTGTGCTAACCTATTGTTCAGCCTGCTCAAGGTTGCATCTGGAGTTAAAGATAATAAATACCATTCTAAAATAAATTATTAAAGTATTTTTTATCTTAAGCTACCACCTATTGTTGACTAACTGTGCTGTTCCCTTTGCCACACAGAATTTTGATATAAGCTTTAACCCAGAGAGTTTTGGTTATGTTCATATCCATAAAGTGGATGGCCTTTGGGCAAAAGCTGAACTGGAAAATTTTCTGCAGACATCAACTGCTCCAGAGACAAGCCTTCCAGAAAAATTCAGGAGTGGATCAGATGCAAAGGTGAGCCCTGTGATGGCAACAAAACCCAACCTAAACCTGCCCGTGTCTTACGAAGGACTCTGGCCAGCTGAAGCCCTGTGCAGGCTCCTGGGCCCCAGCCAGTTTGCAGTCACCGAGGGCAGCTGTGGCTCCAGCACGTATGAGGTTTGCCACAGCAACAGGGTGCCCCTGCACAGCACTGGTTTCAACCTTTCCTCCACGTGTCCCCTGGGTCTTTCAGGCCAGCCCCATCCAGAGCCCCTAAATGATGACACCGGATCCCAGATTCTGCCTAACGGTGACATGAGATCACCAAACAACGAGGAAGCCTACGTCACAATGTCCAACTTCTACAAAATTCAGTAAATCTCACAAGAATTACAGCATGCATTTTTTCTCTAACACACACAGGATACTGAAGCTTTCAGGTTTTGTTTTACTGTATCCTGTGAGTTCCCACCTCCCTGTGAGCGCACCCAGCTCATAGTGCAGTGATGTGCCTGCAGGGAAGGGGGCTCTCCTACAGCCCAGTGAGAAGTGGACTAGCTCAGCATTCAGTAGGCTGCTAGCAGCCTTCACTGCAGCAGAAATTAAATTTAATTCAACCGGATTCTGATCTTCAAATCTGATTAATCCAGAGCAGTGACAATGCAATCCCAGCCGAGGATCACAGCATGTTTTGTAGAAATTAATGAACTCTTTTGTTACCATTTTGGTTACAAAGTTAAGTTCTTATTAATGCCTTAGCAAGAAATATGGCAATAAATTCCTTTTAACGGAACCCCATCTCTTTTAAAGACTGGTGGGTCAAGACTAACTCCCCCAGTCAGTCAGAAGACAGAAAAAAGACAAAAAGACAGGAAATGAAAATTGCTATCAAGTATTAGATGCCTGGCAATTCAGGAGCTTGACCACCACAATGAAAGTTAGCTGAATGCCCACCAAAAATGTTACATGGGCCCACCTGAGGGCAATGATTCCTGAGATGGATTTAGTTTTTGGTTTGGTGCTCTTTTTTTTGGTAGTTTTTTGGGTTTTTTGAGACAAAAATTAAACAAAACCAAACCCTGAATGCCACTACTTTTTGCTATTGGCAAAGATCTGGCCTTAAGTACCAAGATGCACAGGAACTTCTGCTAATACTTTTGAGGTCTTCAACATTTCATGTACCAAAGCAAAGTCATGAGAAGTAAAGTCATTTCCCTTCCTAGAAGCTGAATTAGGTCTGTAAATTGCATGATGCTGTCCTTTTCTGTAGCTCTTATGCAATTATTAATGTAGCATAAGTGCTTTCTATTCCAGAGACTGGTCTGACCATGTTTGCTTGCTAGCATTATCCCCAGCGGCTGTGACTGCACACAGGTACTATGAATTTAGACAGGCAATGTTCTCATGCAACATCTGACATAGGAAGATGGATGGAATGTTGTGGATCCTTGGCAGTGATTACAAGAAGTAATTTGGTTTTTAAAAATATCTTATAGTTTGCCAGGAGATTTTTTTTTTGTTTGTTGGTTTTTGGGATTTTTTTAGGGTTTGTTTCTTTGTTTGATTTTTTGGGGGTTTTTTTTTGGTTGTTGTTGGTTTTTGTTTTGGTTGTTTTTTTTTTTGGGGGGTTGTGGGGTTTTTTGGGGGTTCTTGGGGGGTTTTCTGGGGTTTTTTTGGTTTTTGTTTTTTTTGGGGTTTTTTTTTTTTTTTTTTTTTTTGGTTTGGTTTGGTTTGGATTTTTTGCATTGTGACTTTTTTCTTGTGTTATTACTTTTTTTTTTTTTTACCTTATGGCTGAGCCACTTCACATCTTCCTTGGATGCTGCATATTCTGGAGTACACACTTGGAGATAAAGCTGCTACAGCCACATGGTTGCATGACAGCAAAGCAGTGTGGCCATGGCACATCCAAGCTGCTTTCTTGCACTCCGGACTTGGGGTTCACCTCATTGTGCAGTCTCAATTCCTCTAGCTCTTTGAAATTCTCCTTTACCTAGTTATATTCACATTCCCAGAGTCTAAGGGTGAAAAGAGTCCTCTCTTATCATCAGAGGATGAGATGTTCATTTGTTCTGACTCATAATGGTCATGGAGATGTCGCAAAACCTCAGCTGCTGCCATCTGCCTCTGCCAAGACAGCTTTGTGCCAGGAGAGCTGCAGAATGAATCCGATCACTGAAAATCTCTTGTGGCCTTGTTTCAAGAATATATGGCAGAGAGTGAGGCTTGCATTAAACTCAGTTACTTGAATTGGAATTTAATGCTGCAGGAGACAGTACAAACCAAACAGCAATTCTGGACCACATCAAGCCAAAACCAGCCTTCCCAAGACAGCACTCCACCTCCTCCACCTCCACCAAGTGCAAGGGAAACTTTTGAGTGGGGAGAGTTTAACAGCTACTGTGTGCAAAGAGGCCTCAGATTTGGCTCAAGGCATTCCAGTGACATTTTACAGAATGGTTTTTATTGCTGTTTACCGCCAAATGAAGCATTAATTGATGACGAAGAAAAAGACCAAAGCCCTGGGCATTCATTTGCTTTATAGTGCTTGTATTTCCCTTCAAACAGAGCTGCTGATAATGCTTATACTGTGAGAACTTACACAGTGTGACTGTAGATACAGACAGACTATACCAGAATGATACCTTCTTCCAGTGACACAGTGACAAACAAAAAGGGGATAGAGGAAGAAGCAAAAGCACATCAGGAAAATCTTCTGCAGTATGTGCTATGCTTCCTTCAAGTTTTATAATTTTGTAGGTCTGTAACACATTTGTTGGATGTATGCAGATATAACCACTTTCAGCTTTTGTTTCAGGAAAAAGAAAAAAAATAAAGCGAAATATGCACCAAAGCCAGAAACACCACAAGCATTTCCTGTCTATGGCCAAGTTATATATAGTCCATATATGAGGATAGAGACATGACAATGTCTGGACAATCTGTCAAGTAGTCTCCTTATTCTACATGACAATTTCTCCAGAGCAGTCCACAAATTCCCATGTACCTCAGTAATCCCACAGGAGTTTTGTTCAGCTTTCACATACTCCATGCACTTCCTTTATCTTAGCACAACTTCCCTTCTCCCCCTTCTGCCTCCAGCGCTCTTACCCAGCTGCACACCCAGACCTAGCTTGCTGGCACTGGCTTCTCTGTGGCTGCTTCATGACACAGCCAGCGCCTGGAGCTGCCTGCTCCTCCCTGCTATGTGCCCGCTGGGCTCAAGCCCCTCTCCTGCAGTCGTGGTGGCACACAGACACCCTCCCATCTTTGCTTCTCCCCTCATCTGTGTGCAGCTCATGCAAACACCTCCTAGCATTATGAGCACTCCTTCCTGCACTATGCAAATGTCTCTTAGCTGTACACAAACTTAGAGTATTGTCAGTCAATGAGTCATGGTCTAATTCTAATGATGCTGAAAAATGCTAATTTCATCTCAAGGCAATAGTCATCCCTGGCTTAAAGCGTTAGTTTATTTACCACATCTCCTCCCGCTTGTGCACATTCATTAGACAGGCTGAAAAAACACACACAAATGCTGGCAGCAGATGACCAGCTAGCTAAGTGTGGGGAGGCAGACAGACTGCATCTGCCAGGGTGCAGGGATGGCTAAATGCCTGTGATGTGCAGTGAAATCTGGGCTATGAAATAAATGTTGAAAGGGTGGCCTGACAAGAACTGCTGCAGGGACACGTGGCTGAGTCCAGGGCAGCAGTAAGCAGAAGATGACTATGAAAACGTTTCTTCTGGCAGCAAGAGACGTGGTGTTGCTGGCAGGGTATTTCTGCAGGGCAGGAGTAGAGACCCTTCTCAGCTTCTTAGCAGTAGTGTTTATTGATTTGAAGACCTGTATTTGTAGAGCAATACAGCAGTGCTGCTTCTTGGGGGAGAAGCAATTGGATTTTAGTCAATACACTTTTAAATCAAGCTAATTATCTCTGTGGTTGTGGGGTTTTTGAAGCTATCATTTAAAAACAGATAAAATGTGATATAAAGAAGACTTACCACCTCTGTGAAGAATTATTATAGAGTCAAACACATCCTTATTACTGTGATCATGAAGCCGACCAAATTAGCGCTCGTGTGTGTCACAGAGCATTAGCAAAACAAATCTAATGTACAGACACACAGGAAAACAACTGATAATGCCAGAAAAGGCAATTGCTAAATTATACGGACTGTTTCGTCCATTGCACACGCGGCAGCTCCAGGTTTCAGTCAGGACGTTGTTTCCTTGGCTTCTAAGCGCCACCTGCTGAAACACGAAGCCACTAGTCAGAGCCCAGCCCTTGGACCCTTGCTGGTGCAGCTGCTCATCATGCAGCTCCAAAAGCCGTGATCAGATGGGACCTGGGGCAAAAATCAAGCCCACAACAAACTAAGCAGTATTTCACTTATTTGTAGTCTATAGCCCTAAAGAAGTTTGGGCAAATAATAGCAAAAGACAGAGTTTCCAGGATTTCTTCGTCTTTAAAATGACGTAGGCGTCAATGTCCACAGAACTAACTCCATAGCAGTAACTCTTTTATAACCCAAGAATGAGAAAAACAGTGTTCAGTGTTTACAAGGGTGATGGCCATATTCTGTGGCTCAACAGACTCTATATGCTGCAAAAACTTCCTCTGCATCTTCCAGGGAAGTCTGATTTTGACATCTATTGCTGCCGCAAGGTCCTACACAGAATTCACTTAAATTACTCTAAAGCAAACAGATTGAAATTCTTTCATGAAATATTTTCCCAGTTGTTGTTAAATATTGATGGCATAACTTTCGTGTCACAGAAAAATTAGATTAGTCCAACATCAGGGCCATCAGTGAATATAAAAAGCCCCAAAGGTTTGTCAAACAGAAAAAATGAGACACAAAGCAGAAATGCATTGATGAAAATGTCTAAAGGAATGAATCTATGTCACAAAGTTGGAGCTTCTCCAACACAGTCTGACAATTGTTTTTCCGGAAAATGTGCATAAGCTAAAAGAAAACCACTCCAGCTTTTGAAAGTAAAAAAACAACAAAAAAAAAAAAAAAAAAAAAAAAAAAAAAAAAAAACCACAAAAAAACCAAAAAAAACCCACAAAAAAGACCCCAAAAAACCAAACAACAACAAACAAACAAACAAACAAACAAACAAACAAAAAACCCTGCAGCTTTTGGGAAAAAAACCATGTTTTAAGTGAGAAAAAGGAACTGATTTATCTCAGGAAAATAAGCACTTCTTACATTTCACCACAGTCTCTGCTTTTCCACAGAAAACCAGACTTGATTCAACTTCCACTAAACCTTGTGCTTCCTTTGTATCCAAGATAGTCAACAAAGGCTGGATCCTGTCCCCAGTCTCCAGCTGCAGCTCCTGCAGTGTTGGGATCATCCAACAGTGCTGTGAACTGCGGGGGAAGCCTGGGTCTGGGTTTTGTGGAAGTGTGGAGGTGGGGTTGCTCTACCTGAGGTAGCTGCAAACCTCCAGGCATGAGCATAGAAGCGGTGCTAGAGGCAAAACCAGGCTTGCTTTGAAACCACAGGGGTTTCAGACTGCTGAGGCACACCAGTATGGCCAGGGGGCTGCTGCAAACAGAGAGGCAGCTTTTAGTCACCCGAACACTTGTTGTTAAGCACAGGCTACTAGGAATCCTGCTTTCTGCTTACCCTACAAGAGAGAAAAGCTAAAGAAACAGGGTGAGCTATAATCACGGTGATAATAGACAGTAGGCAGCTGCTGGCAGTGCCAGGTTGCTCTTGGCATTAGCTGTTTTACTGGGAACCCTCAGTGTGGAGGATAGGAGCTGCATGACAAAAATCAGCAAAATCACTGATCTTGCTCCTTCTGCTAGTGACAGCTCTGTGATGGCAAAGTGGTGCTCTGCCCACACGGCTGCAGAGGTTTGAGGTGGCACTGTGTGCAAGGAATTACATAAAAGCAAGTTGGCTTTTATACAGCAATGTCTGCAGGTGATTTCATCTGCAAGACCTCTTTCTGCTGCTGCCATCTGCCTCTACCAAGACAGCTTTGTGTCAGAAGAGCAGCAAAATTAATCAGGTCACTGAAAATCTCTTGTGGTCTAGTTTCAAGAATATATGGCAGAGAGTGGGGCTTGCATTAAACTCAGGTGCCTGAATTAGAATTTTGTTCTGCAGGAGACAGTATAAAACAAAAAAACATTCTTTATCACATCAAAACAAAAATTTCCTCTTCCAGACAGAAACATGAAGCCACAAAGAGCACAGGGAGGCCAGAATGAAAATGTAGTGAAGGAAGCTGCTGAAGTGCCACTTTTCCCAGAGGAACACACCAGAAGAAAAGGCTGTCCCACACCTCTTTTTCCCCATACCTTGTGCTCTTTTTAGGTAGAGGGGTGGTGTCACTGAGGTGCTCAGATGGCTCATGCAGAGGCAAGAAGTGGGGGGAGAGTTTTGGAAGAATTATAGGGAGCCTTTTCTCTCTTTCCCACAGGGCTCTACCAACATTTTTTGGAGCAAACTTCAGTGCAGGCTGTTGGGGGATGGTAGACCTATTCCTGCCAAGACACTATGCCTGGCAGTAGACTGG